TCTCGGCCAACCAGTGCTGGCCCTGTCCAAGCGTATTCAGCAGTAGACGGTCCTCAGCCTCCAAGTGATTAATAGTGATTAACGCTGCCAATAACTTTGCCCATTTGTAAATAGCATCGAAGCAGAAAGTGGGAACTACTTTTTTTGTAAGTTTTCTTTGGGTAGGGAGCTCGGGGTACGACTTGGGTTTGGTTGTTTTGTCTGTTATTTGGGCCTCGGTTCACCTCAGAGTTCATGCTTTTATAGGCGGAGCAATAAACGTCACCTTTGTCTGTGAATCGGCTTTTGCTTGTCTGGTGTTGGGGAGCTGTTTGTTAACCCTTATGTTACGCTCACATAAACCACGGTGTAGCAGTGTGTGTGTGTGTGTGTGTGGCAAAGTGTTTCTGCACAGTGTACCAGGGGCACGGACAAAAGTTGTCGTACCATATGCACGAGGTGTGTGTGTGTGTGTGTGTGTGTGTGTGTGTGTTCAGGACTGAGGAAATGCATGTGGTGGTATGATTGTCTTGTCTGTGTAATTCAAACCTCCAAAGACTCTAATGATGTCATGTCTGTGAGCCACGTGGCCTCGCCAGCAGTAATGGTGTCAAAAGGAAACGGAGGAAATTACAGCCTCATTATGAACCCACAGCATCACAGTCACTGCTGTGGGGCCACAGAGCTACAGGACGAATGTATGTAAAGTATTAGCTAAGCTAGAAAAAAGCAGATGAAACAATCGCCTTTATCAAATAGATGTACCTGGAGTAAGCAGAAAATGCAAAGACGGAAAGATGTCTTCATCATATCCATGAAGTATTTTAACTTTTGTAACAAAAGAATTTCCAAAACATTCCAAAAAACTGTATTTTTCCAGTTTATTGAGTAATTGTGCTGTAAATGTAACAACAGCACACAGCAGTATGCAGCAGTGCATTACAGCATTATATTTAGTTATTATACATACTTGCCTTCCTGAGCGTGAATTTAATTTGCTATTTTCATCATAAGTAATGATGTAATTTTTAATTTGAACAAGTCTTTGACAGATTTCTAAATTATTTGT